AGAAGCAACAGACTCCTGGAGCCCTGGGAGGAGAATCTCACAGACTCAGCTGTAGCACGCCCACAATTCACTGAATTCCTTCAGCCAGCTTAAGGGCCAGGGTGCGAGGCTGGGGTCCAGGGATAGCCTGTTTGTACTTTTAGGGTTGCTTAAACAGGCATTCAGTGTCACTATCTGCTGCTCAGGGGTGAGCAGCCCTTGGCATCCAGCACCCACATGGCACAGCTACGAGGCTTCCTTTCCCATGAGCACAGAACACGGTGCTTCACATGAGACCCTTCAGGGGCACCATGCAACAACTGAAGAAAGCACATTCACCTAAGATTCACACACAGTAACAACCACAACAACCACCACACACACACACACACACACAAATTGATAGCCGCTGAGCCGGCAGTCAATTAAAGGTTCCCTGAAAGGTGAGTTCTTTCTCAGGGCAGTATGATAAAGTCAAGCTTCTTTGGGATATACTAAAGAAATCACTGGACTAGATACCAAAAGTTCAAGTGATGGGATTTCTGATTGATCCAGGACAAGTTAGAAGCTTCATTTGCAGTGTGTGTAACTAGGACCCAGTTCAGTTTCCCTGAATGGTTACAGCAAACAAAATTAGATCAACAGGAAAGGTTTTGAAAAAATAACAATACTTACATAAATGAAAGAGTAGCTAACCTACCTTCTGTAAGTGCCACATCTCTGCCTATCCAGCTCAACCAACTACGGCCAAACTGTTTTCATCACTTCCTAAATCCAGCTGTCCATCCTGCTGCGCCGTTTGATTTGACCAGGAGCAGAGACAGAGCAGCAGAGCCCAGATGGGCAGTGCGAGAACAGCGCGGATTTTATAGCCCAGTAGCCCCCCTAGAGCTGAATTGGGTGCCATTTTGTGTAAGGAGGCAAAGGCAAGGGAAAGGATTGAGCTTACACTGAGCTGAGAGTGAACTCATTTCAGACTCAGTGAACTGCAGCAATGTGGAATCTACAGATTCTAACCAAGACAGGTCTGGGCAGCCCTCAGATCTGACAGCCAGCAGGTCAAGAACTCTAGTAGTGGCATGTCAGGCGCCATTTTATACACTGTGGCAATAGCTTTAGGACTGCAGGGGACAACAGCAAACTGCACATGTGCTGAGCTCACGAGAACTCACTGAGTTCAATAGAATGCACTGGTCCCGCAGGAAAATAATACTGACTACCTGGTTGCTGGTGGAGTTCAAATCGCCCGTTAGCTGAATGCCACTGGAGTATGAGCCACTGCAACACCACACCATTGTGTCCACTGCTTTCCTGTGTCTGTTATTCTCCCGTACCCCTCTGCTGTTGTTCTGTCATCTCCTATTTTCTGGAATGTGTCCTCTCTGCTTCATACTGATTAAATATTTCTCCATCCATTTAAATGTGTCCTTACCCTATTCTGTCATCTTGATTCTTCCTATCTCACACTTTTATAACATCACAATATCTGATATTTTTCAGCTTTGTAGTGGTAAGCAATGAATATCTATAACAAGACATGTTTTATGGTTGATAGCAAAGCTAGAAAAATAATACTGACTGTGGCATCGTATGGGTCAAAATAGGTCCGTGTGGAACCCAGACCTAATATCCAACAGGTTCCGGCAAGATCAGCGCCACCAACAACCTAACTATATAGGATACCTGGTGTCTCTCTAATCCTTGGACCTGCTCCAACTGGAAGTGGGAGAAAGGTTGCAGAGACAATGGTGCAGCCTCAGCGCAGTATCACAGGAGGTAGGGAGTGGTGAGCCAGGAACTGGGGCTATGGAGATCATGGTGGGAATCTAACATAAGAACCCAAGCCTGGAACTCGCTGGAAGGAGTGGCACAATAGGCTACAAGCAAAAACTTGTGTACCAACTGCAATAAGTAAAATCGGACTGTAGACCTGTGGGTGACACAGCTTAGAAACCTGCCCCAAAGAGAAAAATCTGATAACCACAAATACAATGATCAAGAGCAAAAGAAGAGACAAAGGCACAATGAATATTACTGAAAACTCCCCTGCAAAGGAGCAAAACCCTATGCCAAACTCAGAGTTAACTGAGGAAGACATCAAGAAAATGGGAGACACAAAATTCAGAAAACTCATTTTAAAGCTTCTGATCAACAATCAGAAGCATATACAAGAGCTCAAAGAATTTAAGGAAGCAGTAAAGCAAAACAAGGCTGATAAATCAGAAATTAAGAACACAGTAGAGCAAATTAAAAGTACAGTGGAGAGTCTCCAAAATAGAATGAAGCAAGCAGAAGAAAGAATCTCAGAATTGGAAGATATCTCCTGTCATCAAGAAGCAAAGAAAAAGTTGGAATCAGAGCTGGATCAGGCCCAAAAAAGTATTCAGAATTGAAAGACACTATTGAGAGGCCAAATATAAGGGTTACGGGAGTCCCAGAAGGTGTAGAAAGAGAAGCTGGGTTTATAAAGGTATTTAATGAAACAATAAGAGAAAATTTCCCTAATCTGGAGAAAGAATTGGGAAACAACATCCTGGAGGGGCACAGAACTCCCAACAGGCTTGATCAAAAGAGATCTTCACCAAGACAAATGATCATCAAGCTCTCCTCAATTGAACATAAGGAAAAGATCCTTAAATGTGCACGTGAAAAACATCAATTGACATATAAAGGGATGCCAACTAAACTCACAGGAGATCTCTCACAGGAAACTCTATAGGCAAGAAGTGAATGGAACAACATATTCCAGATTCTAAAAGAAAAAAATTGTCAGCCCAGGATAATGTACCCAGAAAAGCTTTTCTTCGTCTTTAAAAATGAAATGAAATTCTTCCACAGTAAAGGAAAGTTCAAAGAATTTGCCTCTTCCAAACCTGCCCTACAAAGGATACTTCAAGATGTTCTCTTGACAGAGAAGAAGAATGGTACCAAACAAGACCAAAGGCAAATGTGAAGAACATCCCAGTAAAGTGACAACAGAAGACTAAACCAATGAACAACCCATTCCTAAAATGACAGGACCAAAGTACCACCCATACATATTAACCCTGAATGTAAATGGCTTAAGCTGAATCAAACATCATAGATTAGTAGACTGGATTAAAAAAACCAAACCCACCTATTTGTTGTCTAGAAGAGATACACTTCACCAACAAAAATCAAACTATATCAAGTTGGAAACTATATCAAATTGGATTTGATGTTTTCTGTTGGTTTCATCTCTTCAAAACACTTTCTTCTGATTAAATCATTCAGTGACTCATAGATCATAGAGTAGCATCATTTTCTTCAAAAAGGTTCTTGATTTTCATTTCTTCAGCTACACGTTAGTCGTTAAGTAGCATGTTATTTAACTTCTTGGTGTTGTTAATTTCTTTTTTCTTCCTGATATTGATTTTGTTTTGTGGCTTTTCATATAAGGGGATGTATAGTAGCTGTGTAATGGAGACTGTCATATCTAGTAACATGTCATTTAACTTTATGGCATTGTAAATTTCTATTTTTCTTGCTATTGTTGATTTTGTATTATGACTTTTCATTTAAGGGGATGTACAGTAGCTGTGGAATGGAGTCTAACATCCAGATGTGAGGATACAATGTAGTATGCATTTCTACTTCCAGACAAAGATGGACTTTCAATGAAACTGTTTACTATATCTTGACAATAGGATGCTGGACTCTGCCACTGTCCATGCCCACAATGATGGACATATGACTGCGTATGAAGAACTATATTTTAGTAATGATATAGAGGAACTAGGCGAGGGGGTGGGAGAATTGGGGAGGGGATAAGGGAAAAGCCAGGAGCCTATGGAACTGTATCATAAAATGGTAATAAGAAGAAAATAAAAACAGTGTGAGATAATTGTGACTTTCTAAACCTGCAATTTAGTGTGGGCACATTTACTGGTGTGTTCCTAGGCAGTTGTTGCTTCTAAATTTTAAAATTTATTTATTCAAAATGCGAAGTTCAGAGAATGACAGAGATCTTTCATTCCTGGCTCAATCCCCATCAGCTTGCCCCAGGTCTGGAATTCCGTCCTGGGGGCCTACAGGAGCAGCAGGGAGTTACTATGTGTCAGCAAAGAGCTGAGAAAGCATTTCCCCAGTGTTCAGTCAGCAACGAAATACACTGTCTCGGAGTTGTTTCACACACTGAGATACACACCAGCTCGTTCATTGCCTCGCTGGGTATCAAGCATTGTCACAATTCCAGTCCCACTGTCCTTCCGTTTGAACAGGAAGGCAGCAAAAATCAAGAGTCACTTAGAGGTCAATGGAGAACTTCACATATAAACATATATAAAGTAGCTAATTGCATCACTAAGTTACTGCCTGAATTGTTTCTCCCATCTCCTGGGTTAATATGTAGCATTGCTGAAATGAGTAGATTGAAAATAAACTTACACAAAAGTAGGCTGATCCTAACGGCTACCAGGGAAGAAATCCTTATAAAGTACTTCCTCATCTTTTAAACAATGATAATGCTATGCAGGCTGGAAGTAAGATACTTCCCCAAGGTCAGGGGCCGGGCAGGCTTCGCTGGCCTTGATGTGCCCGGATTCCTCCTCCGCTCTCTGCCACCCCCAGACACAACCCGACTCTTTCCGTTTGCCCGCTGGCCCAGGAGAGGGAGAAACGGAGGGTGGGTGCGGGGACCCGGCAGTGGGGACAAGGCAGTGGGGAGGGACCCGGCAGCGGGGACGCGGCAGGTGGGACCCGGTAGCACCCGGCAGTGGGGACCCGGCAGCGGGGCGGGGGGAGGTGGAGCTGAAGCCTAACTTCATTGTTCGCGGCACCGACTCTGGCGCCTGCGCGGTGCGCGCTCTTTGTGCCAGGCCGCAGCTAGCGGGTTGTTTGTGTCTGTCTCTCCCAGGCGGGGCAGGCGGAGCCAGGGAGGAGCGGCCTAGCCTCTCGCAGCTGGATTGGTTATGTGGAGGGAGGCAGGCGGGCACAGGGCGGGCACAGGGCGGGCACAGGGCGGAGCCTCCGACAACAACACTGGAGCCGGAGCCGCGGCTGTTTGTTGCTGCGCCGCCGCCACCGCCCGAGCCATGGTCCGCGCTCCTCTGTGCTTCTCCTAGCAGCAGCAGCCACTGCCGCCCTGCGCTCCCTGGCTTCGCCGCCTCGTCCCGCTCCCGCCGAGCCACCTGCTCCCCAGCGCTATGACCGTTGTCTCTGTCCCGCAGCGGGAGCCGCTCGTCCTGGGCGGCCGCCTTGCGCCGCTTGGCTTTTCCTCCCGCGGTTACTTCGGGGCCCTCCCGATGGTGACCACGGCTCCGCCGCCTTTACCCCGGATCCCGGACCCCCGGGCACTGCCCCCGACCCTCTTCTTCCCTCACTTCCTAGGGGGAGACGGCCCCTGTGTGACCCCGCAGCCTCGCGCTCCGGCAGCTCTGCCCAACTGCAGCCTCGCGACGGCGGCAGGCACCCCTCGGGCGGCGCCCAAGAAGCGGAGAAAGAAGAAGGTGCGGCCCGGCGTGGCGGGCCAGCTGCCCAGCCGCTTCCACCAGTACCAGCAGCACCGGCCCAGCCTGGAGGGCGGCCGGAGCCCGGGGACGGGCCAGCACGGAGCGCCGGACGGCCCGGGCCAGGCCTCCGCCTCGGGCCCGGCTCCCGCGACGGCCGGCCGGACCGAGGGAGCGAGCCCGCCGCCCGGGGCGCTGCGGCCCGCGGCTCCCGACCCCGCCGCGCTCAGGAAGGAGGTGAGGGTCGGCCCGGGGGTCTCGGGGACCGTTGCGGCCGGGCTGTGGGGGGCGCGCTGCGGCTCCCGGCCTGTTGGAGCCGGGGGGCCGGGCACCGAGGGGTCGGGGTGGGGGCGGGGCGGGGGCGGCTGTTTACTCGCCGGGGAAGTTTCCGTGACGCCCGCCCGGCCCCGGCTGGGGGGCAGGGGGAGGGCAGGGGCCGCCTGCGCTGGCGCCGCCGATTGGCTGCCGGGCAGCAGCCAATGAGGGCAGCGGCTGCGCCCCAGCAACAGCCCCGATTTAGAAGGCTGGCGGCGTTCCAGGGGGTTTCGGCGTTCGGGGCGTGCGGGGGGCTGACGTCAGCGCGCGCTACGTGCGGCGCGCTCGGGCGGTCATGAAGGAGGACGGGGCCCGGGGTCGGGGCGCTCCCGGGGCCGGGTGTGCAGCGCCCTCCGGGCCGGGTGTGCAGCGCCCTGCCCACGGCGCCCCGAGTCCCTCGCCCGCCCCGTGAGGGGGCCTAGGGCCCGGCCCGACCCGCTCGTGTGCTGGCAAGCGTGCCAGCCGGTGGCCGCGGCCTTGGCCTTCCTGGCCCTCGGAGGCCAGCGGCAGTTTTGGAGGACGCGATAGGATCTGTGCGCTGGTGCGCGCAGCCTTGGGGCTGAGTGGTGCAGTTGTCACGGCGCCCTGCTGCGCGGCCGCTGGCTGGGGTGCTTGGCCAGAACTTTCCCCGAGAACTTAACAGCTGAGTTGACGCTGTGCTAACAGATTTGCACTTGGAGAAAATGGCTTTAGAACTAGAACGGGAATCGGGCTTTGGTAGTAATTTATCCGAGTGAAAAGTGTTTTACTGACTTCCATAGTAAAAGTAAGCTGCTGGCCGTTTGAAAGATTTACTGGATTGAGTTAAGACATCGGCGGTTTGTCCTGGGATGAAATTGCCAAGTTTACCTGTCATGTTTCCCTGAATTTACCTCAGATTCCTTCTGAGTTTTAAGATTTCTTGTCCCTGTTGAAATAAAGGCGATATTCTAAAAGTGAGCTTTTCTTACTTCCTGGCCATGGGATTTTTTTCTAGAACGGCTCTTAATACTGGCAGGCCAGAATGTTCCATTGTGGCAGTGGCCCTTGTGCTCCAGCCAGGGAGGGGGCCGTTTCTAAAAGTGAAAGGAATTAGAAGCAGAAGCTTATCGGTATACCAAAAGAAAAATTTACATACTACTTGGAAAACGTGTATTATGAAAATATTTGGATTTAATTCATACTTTGATTACACATCTCCAGGCTTTAAGTGTCCTGCTTAGCTACCAGAACGGTGATCTAATGGGTCACCTTTAACTTCCCGTGAGGTCCACATCGGTTAAGAAAGTGGCTGGAATTAGTGAAGTCAAGTTTTAAGCGGTTGAAAGAGAGGTCAGACAGAACATTGTTTTGGACTCAGACATTTGAAATGCCTTATTTACTTTTCAAGAAGGTGGAGTTGGGTTTTATTTATTTTTATTTTGACATTTAAAAATTGCTTATGTTGTGCGCTGGTTAGCAATAATAATATTGCATTTAAAATGGAAAACAAAATAGAGATTTGGTGATGGAATAGAAACACTCAGGTATTCAGTGCAGGGGACCAAAGTCTAAGGGAACTTGTTAGGAAAACAGAATATATGAGGTTTGTATTTTGGGTTGTTCTCTTGATACTGTGTTCACATTTGTGTTCCTTGCCTTTGTAGGTTTTAAAATCAAAGATGGGAAAACCGGAACAAGTTGCCCTTGGCCACGGCCAGTTTGTAAATGGTATACACTTGAGTGAACAACCAAAGACAAACAGACAGAAAAGCAAATACAACTTGCCATTAACCAAGATCACCTCTTCAAAGAGAAATGAAAGTCACTTTTGGCAGGACTCGGTTTCATCTGATAGAATTCAGAAGCAGGAAAAAAAGCCTTTCAAAAATACTGAGAACGTTAAAAATATACATTTGAAGAAATCAGCGTTTCTAAGTGAAATGAACCAAAAGGAAAATTATGCTGGAGCAAAATTTAGCGATCCGCCCTCTCCCAGCGTCCTTCCCAAGCCGCCTAGTCACTGGGTGGGAAGCACTGTGGAAAGCTCCCAGCAGAACCGGGAGCTGATGGCGGTGCACTTGAAAACACTCCTGAAGGTTCAAACCTAAGGTTTCAGGTTTCAGTGTGTATGTAAAACATATTTTTTTCCCTAAAATTCCTGGACTCTAAAATTGATACAAATGTGGAAATTGACCTTGTTGCATTGTAAGCATACAAAAGATGAGTTTTAAGAAGTTACATGCAGCAGCTGTATTATATTTTATATTTTGTAAATACTGTATACCATGTATTATGTGTATATTGTTCATACTTGAGAGGTACATTATAGTTTTGTTATGAAAATATGTATTTTGCCCTGCCCATGGCAGGTGTTTTGTATATACATAATGGAGAAATTTTAAGTGTGTGCTAAGGCACATGGAAGACCAATTTATTTGCACAAGGTACTGAGATTGTATCAGAAACAGCTGTCAAATCTCAAGGTGAAGCTCTAAATGTGAACAGTTTACTAATGCACTACTGAAGTTTAAATCTGTGGCACAATCATTGTAAACAATGGAGTTTTGTCTGTTTCTCTAAATTGATTTCTGCCTTCTATAATTACTGGAAAAACTCCTATTCCCATTTTTACCAAATTTAATTTTTTGTTTTTGGTATAACCATTATTCAAATTTAAAATGCCTCTAATTTCAATTGCCAACAAAATCGGTTGTAATCAAATTTTAAAGTAATAATAATTTGGCCTCCCCCCTTTCAACTAGTCTTGACTTTTTGTGTGTGACTGTTCTGTGTGTGATGAGGACGCATGACTGGATTTTTAACTTCCTATTTTACTGGCTTTGGCTTTACTGATTAGCCTTTCCTCTTCAAAATTTAGAACAATTTTTTTTTTTTAAACATTTCTACCTCAGAAAAGGAATTGCCCATTACAAGTGGAAATGGTAGCGGACGAAGTAAAACTGGTTGATTTATGACTCGGCATATATTTAAATGTGAACTTTTTTATAAAATGATTTAATATATAATACATTTTTCAGGAGAAGACTGACACCAACTTTATTTATTACATTGGGCTTAAATGGTGGTATTTGTGCTAAAAAGCAAACATAATTGATGCGGACGGTAGATGGAGATTTTGGATGCTGAGTCTTGCTTTAAGATAAATATGTCAGTTGAAACTTTTTTCTCAGTGCATTTCCAACTCAGATTCTAAAAGGTCGTTGCCACATGGTTTGGGCTTTACAAGCCAACAGAATTTTCTGAGTTTGGCAATGTTAGACACGAAAGGCAGAAGCGGTGTTAAAGGTCTACAGGGTTGCATGTGGTTCTTCAGGTGGAATTCATGAGAAAGGCACTGCCTGGTTTTGTCTTAGGTCTTAACACAGCTTTGCATTAAGAGGAGAGTGAAGACATTCAGCTTCCTGTTTGATGTTTAGTAGTGTGAGCATACGCTTAGCATTTTAAGTTGGTAAGTAGTGCTAGCAGGGTGGTTTGTGTTAGGTAGATGTGCTGCAGAATCTAGGTGGAAGCAAGACATGCTATCTTGTGTATTGCTAGCTCAAGCCAGCCAGCCAACCATTCTTTTTCCATGCTTGTTCTTAGAGAAATTCAACTGCTTTAATCTTAGCTTAATATTAGAAATGGTTTTGAGGAATTGGTGCTAGAACTAATGTGGAAGTACATGTAAACCTTTAGCTTTGGAGTTTCACACTTGATAAACAGAATAGTTTCAAATGGTTACCGTGTTCTAAGTCTTATAGTTAGGAGTGCAATGTAATTGAATTATACCAGGTATAGTATATTCAGTGAGGAAGTAATGAATTTAAGAGTTAAATAGTTTGTAGTGTTTTAGTAAAAACTGTCCAATGGTCCATTCTTAAGCCACCTTTGTTTTTCTCCTGTTGGGATTCTTTGCAACGTTCTCTCCAAAGCTGATGTGGTTAAAGTTGCTTTTTTTCCCAGCTTCAGACACAAATTTAAATTAGTGGCCTAGGAAAGAGGGCTTTTAATTTAAAAGGAGTAAAAGGTTTCTAAGTGTATATGTGAGTGGAAAAAACTGACAGTGGTACTTGGTTAGGCAACAGATAATATAGTTAATATTTTATGCCTAAGTTTATGATAAATGTGTACAATCTGATAACTGAGTTTACATGAGTAGGTGATAGATGCTTTCATTTGCATTAATCTTGGTAAGTTTTTGCTAGTGTCTGTAGAATGGACAAAGGAAAGGCGATAAAAGATCAAGTTACAGTATTACAAGGTTGACAGGAGCCCTTTTATTCAGTCTTTTTTTTTTTTTTTTTAAGATTTATTTGAGGAGAGACAACAACTTTCATTTTCTGTTTGACTCCCCAAATGGCTGCAATGGCTGGAGCTGAGATGAACCAAAGCCAGGAACCAGGAGCTTCTTCCAGGTCTCCCATGTGGGTACAGTGTCCCAGGGACTTGGGCCATTCTCCACTGCTTTCCCAGACCATAAGCAAGGAGCTGGATGGGAAGTGGAGCAGCCAGAACTGAAACTGGTACCCATATGGTATACCAGCCCCATAGGAGGAAAATGACTGTCACGGCATTGGCCCCTTTAATAAGAATAGTTTTAAATTTATAATGGCTTTGGGTTTCTAACTTAAATGTATTAGGCAAATGTATATTTTTTTAGGACCAACATTCAGTTTTGGGGCATAGTTTTGTGTTCCCAAATAACTCATTTCCCTCCCTGAATTTTCATGGTTAGGTAGTAATGTGGTACCTAATTGGGGAGTTGAATAAGGGTCGCTCATGTTATGTTTTAAGATTTATTTTTATTGGAATGGCAGATTTGCAGAGATAAGGAGGGACAGATCTTGACTCTTCATCCATGGTTCACTCCCTAAATGACCACAGTGGTCAGAACTGAGTCATGTCAGTAAAGCCAGCAGCCCACTCAGGGTCTCCCATGTGGATACATGGTTCTCCAGGCCACAAGCAGGAAGCTGGATGGGAAGTGGAGCACCCAGGACATGAGCCAGCACTCAAGGAATGCCAGTGCTTGCAGCCTGAGGATTAGCCAATTGAGCTATTTTGCTGGCTGCTGTATTTTAGGGGATGACTGCAGATTATCTTTAGCAACAGCTATCTGCTTTTTTAGTCTACAACTTTGTTGAACTTAATCTGAGAAGGAACAAGACAGCAACTCAGCCACAGTGTTTCTGCCCAGAATGAACCTAGAAGGAAGGCTCATTTGCTGCTGACCTAGTGACAACTTAATTAGGACTGAAACCGTGGCTATGGGGGATAAGCCTAGTCAGCCCTGTCTGCCTACCACAGTGAATTCTCATTAGTCATTGGAAGTTTGGGGCTGTCCCAACAAAGTCTTAACTTCCAAAAGCAGTGCTGTCAAGCCTCGTTAAAAGGCTTCAGCTGATTCCAAAATAAATAAATGAGTGGGGCTCTGTTTAAAAGGCAGAGCTTAAGAGAGACTGATCTTCGGTTGCTTTGCCCAAACTGTCACAAAGGCCTGGGCTGGGGCAGTCTGCAACCAGGAACCTGGAACTCTTAAGCACCTGGGCCATCTTCTATTTTCAAAGGCACCTCAGCATCAGGAAGTGGGATTGAAATGTAGCAGCTGGGATTCAAACCAGCAGCTTAACTCCTTGTGCTATAACACCAGCCACGGGAAGTCCATTTTAGAAGTCCACAGTTTGAAAACTGAGTATTAGCTTTGTCTAATGTTTTGTAAATATTTGCAATAATGGGTTTAAGATAGGCGAGTTTTGACATTTCCCAAATCTAACAGTCTGTGATTCTAAAAGGAGGTATTCATAGGTTTAATAAGCACACGTGTGCATGTAAGAAGTTCTTATGTGATGAAATTAGAGTTTTTGTGTTTTAGGTTAACTACTTTAGTTCCCTTTCTTTCTTAATATTTCTTAGCTCTTACATGCCATTTTTGAGCAGCATGTCTGTGATTTAATGTGTTGGGACTTAGTTGTAAGTCATGTTCAGGAAATACAGGCATGAATGGTAGAGCTGAAAGTTAACTGTAGACAAAGCTGTGTTCCCTGCATGCCCAACAAATGCCTGAAGTAAATATGAAGGTAAACTTGTCTCTTCCAGGAAGCAGTGACTGAGTAGGAGTGCGACACCTGAAACAGTACTGAAGTATATCTTGAAGTCAGTATTTCACAGAAGTAAAAGTTCTCTATTGGTAGTGATCTTGGTAGTTCAAGTGATGTAGACTGTCCAGAAGCTCAAAAAAAGTGCAAGGGTGGAGGGCTCACTGTGCTTGAAAGGCATGCTAGGGTCAGCAAATACAGGGCCTGTGATATTAGTCCGCAGCGCTTGGACTGTATTCTAGCAGAGCAGAGTCCTCCGAGGCTGGAGTAATAGCTTGGAAGGAAAACACTTGAAATAGCAAGACCTTGTGAGTATTTTAGTAGCTTGAGGGCAGAAAGGATCTATGGGGATATCAGAGGGAAGTCCACACATTTACTTTGAGAGTGGTGTTTGTGGAAATGGAATCAAGAACTGAGCTTGTGAGTGAAGGTGGGGAAAGGTTTTCAGATTGATTAGGAAGTAAAACATGTTTCAGGAACTGTGCAGAGGGGAGGGGATTATAGAGGCTGATGATGGATCTGGCATGCTAAACTTTGAGATGCCTGTAGGACACATACCTAGAAAGGTACAGGAAGTAGATAGATGGTGGTCAGACCTAAAGATACAATAATACATAATGCATAGGAGCAACATGAAAATTGACCTATTTTCCTGTATCCTTTCCCCTTTCTATCCTATAGCTTAGCCCCTTTACTAGTACTCTTGACCTCATAATCATTGACCTGAAATGTCATCTTTGATACTAAATTAAATTAGAAAGCATTTCTTGGTGAAATATTGGCTAGTTACTTACCTATGTAAACTTAAATTCTGAACTCTGATAGCAGGGCCCAGTAGGTGGAGAGAGGAAGAAAGTTTTCATTTTCTTAGTCTGACATTTGAAGTTGGGTGAAACTGTCCTTTTATAATCCTTCTTGTACCCTTCCTATCTCCCAATCTCCTAACTATCATACTGCCAAAGAAATGATCTTTTATGATCATTTTATATGGAAGGCAACTGGTAGACTTTAGGTTGAGGTAAGTATGTGTATTTACATGCACTTAGGTCCCAGCACCCACTTATATTCAAGTTTTTGAAAGACGTTGTTAAAATATTTTAAGATTTGTTTGAAAGATAGTCTCCATCTGCTGATTCACTCCTCAGATGCCCACAGTAGCCAGCATGAGGCCAGGCCCAATGGGAGTGGGAACTCCACCTGGTTCTACACATGGGTAGTAGCAATGCCAGTACTGAGCCATCTGTTCTCTCCCAGACATATTCAGAGGATGTATGGAATAGCTGACACTCAAGCTAGGCACTCTGACATGGGATGTATACACTCCAAGTGGTGGCCTAATGTGCTGTGCCACTGTGCTGACTCCTCCTCTTTGTTGATTGTTGCACTGAATTCCTTTCTCTTTTGAATCCATAAATCTGAGAACTCAAAAGTGTCTTGTAATAGTTCATATAAGCACAGAGTATATCTTCAGAAGTGAGATAGACAATCATGTAAGCACAAATTGTGCCATTCCAAAAATATCTTTCAAATATGACTATCTAAATTGACTATTCTATATTGCTATTTATAAACACATATCAATTTAATCTTCAAAACATTTCCTGGAAGTTAGATAGGATGCTCTAAATAGGTTTGAGCTTGTGGTGATGAGCTTCCAGTC